AATTTAAATTGAATTTTTTTTTGTTCTGTATACGACCAAAAAAAGCTGGAGATTCATTTTTATGCTAATTTTATGTTTGCAACATTAAGTGCAAATTACAGAAAGACAAAGACAATTTGTCTTGATTCTTAAAGAGGGGGTCTTTATTGATGGTGTCAATTATTAAGGGGAAAATTTAAATTCTGTAGACGGAGCAATAATATCATATTAAGGACTTATTGATTTATAAGAAGTTGAGAAGTCTTATACTTGAACTAAAAGCCAACATAAATTCGATTAAATGCTGCATACACTGGGAATTGGTATGCTACACCATTATACAGATCATATGTAAACCACAAGTGGTCCACATAGGTTAGAACCTTCCTAAATGTCACCGTATCCTGACCTTTCTATTAAATCTTGTTTGTTAAGAAAAATCTGTAGACTAAGAAACAACTAAGCAGTTGTTTTAAAAATCACAATATTTGATACATCATTTAAGAACGACTACCCAGTAAAAACAAAAGAGAATACGAAAGAGAAGCTCCATTAAGAACTAACAAAAAAATATTACGTAATCGGTTTTGTATATTTTCAGCACTTTAAATGGTGTTTTGTCTCAAAGAATGTCCCAAAGAATAGTGTAATTATCGTTTGGCGGCATTAATGTTCCTCTCGAGAGTGTCCAATAACAAACCAACTACTTACATTATTTGATGATATTCTCCTCATTCTATTGTGCTTTATTTCTTCTTCCTCCTTATTGCTTCTGTGTAATGTGTAATGAGCCAAAAATGCAAGATATTCTCATCCACGGCTGATGAGATTGTTGTAGCCTTAATTAAATATTAACGATTTTTTCTCTTTGTTCTTCTTCTTTGTCATTAATTTTCGCACGAGAATAACATTAGTGAATTTATTTCTCTTGAGTGAGAGTTTCGATATGTGTAATTGTGGCTTTAATGGTGAATTGAGGATGGCAAAATTGAATTAGGAATTGATGAGTAATTTTGGTTGAAACTGCTGGATTTTAGAATCATCGTATCGCTCCTTACTCAATTTATTTCTTCCAATAAAATTAAAATAAAATTTTATTAACCATTTTTTGTCCAAATTACGGAATATTTAATTTTATTCATCATTCAATAATTCTAATAGGATGTAAATCTATTCCACGAGCAAATTTTCTTTGTACGCTAAGCACGTGGTTATGAAATAAATTTAATATTTAATGAAATTTGCTCATTAAAGAGCAATAAAAAGTCCCAAAATGTAATCAGCAGTAATTTTTCTTTTTAATACTAACTAAGGCTGAATTATTGAATAATAATAAAATAAAATCGTGTCTGAATGTAATGATAATTACAATGGGTAATGCTGTTAAGTTAAGAGTGTGATATAAATAAGTTTTTGAGAGACAGAGAATTTAGGAGGAAGGTGTGATGACTTTTGGGAGCTCTAGGGGGTCATTGTTGATCTTTTTGATGATTTGAATGCTTGGATATCTTCAAGTAAGATTGTTGAGAGATCAGCTTGTGTTAGGAATCGAACATACATTCTCACAAATGAGAGAGTATTGAAATTGTGATCTGTAATTTAACCATTCGTTCAGAAAGGCTGTACTTTCGTATTGAACGATTCACTTACATATGATTGGATAACCCAGATTCCACTCTATTCTGACAAGACTTCCAAAGACTTATTTTCTAAAAGATGCAAAATGTATTTTTTTACATTTATAAGTTTGTGCTAAACCAGAAGTTTCAGATGTTTCCAATAAATCTGTCAAAAGTTAAAAAATATGCCTAAAACTTGCCCAAACACATTCTTATAAATCGACAGCTAACATCAAACATTCAAACAAGCATCAATCAATAAACAAATACAACAAGTTCATGATAAATTTCATCAAAATTCACCCAAAAGCTCAGCATTCCCATTCTACCCTTAAACAAAATTCGAACTCATCTCAAAACTCCCAATCAACATCAAAATATTGACAAAAGTAGTCAATGCCAACAGCACAAAAATAAGTCAACTTCCTCATCAAAAACAATTTCCCTTTGTTCTCGTGACCATTGACACGTGGACGATGCGAGAAGTGAAAATGTAGCAAATTAAATACAGACACAGATCAGAAAGAAGAAAATGAGATTTGCGATGGCAAAAGCTAGTCAGCAGAAGTAGCATGATGCCATAAAAAAAAGTCGCATCACATTGAAATTTATTTTGTCTATCTTTTCTTTTCTCTCTCTCATGACGATGAACGTGGACGCTTTGCTTTGACAGCATTCGTGTGCTGTTATTAAGGGTGATTCGTGAGGTGCTTATGTTTGCTTACATCCTTGGCACTTGCCATTTACTGATGATTAATATTTTATTTTTGCAACTTTTGCTTTTACGTGAATTTATTCATGCTGTAGAAATGGTCTTGCATTATTATTATTTTGCATTATAAAAAATAATGAGAATTGAAATGGATCATTTTGAGCATGATAGCATTATTTGAGCATGATAGCATTATTTTATGTGAAAATGAATAAATAATCATCATGTTGATGCTCCCTTGCGGACAATTCCAGCTCGATTGCATTTCTTGATTAGATTTTCTTTGCTGCTCTTGTCTAAGCTACTACAAGTGAATAATTCACATTCTGAAATATTTTATTGCGATTTGTTTATCTCCATGAGAGAAAGAATAGTCGAGAAGGAATGAAGATAAAGAGATGCATTTATTGCATCAATTTAAAAGGATTTTAAATTTCAAAGTGGATATTTTAAATGCAAATTTATTGCAATGATGGAAATTTATAAAGCTTATTTTAATGAAAAGTTCATTGAAGTGAGGAGCAAGTTTATTAAGGGTCTGTAGCACTTAATAAACTATCTAGAACAATTTTGTCTGCCTTGAAAAAAACTTCACATGGCATATGGCATATTGCACATGGGTTTGCAATTATTGTTCTAAGTCAGTGGTGCACAACCTTTTTTGAGCCATTGCACACTTGGTCATAAGCCATTATCAAACCTCACACAACTTATGATTCGTGGAATATTCAACATTTTATCACGGCACGTGGGTTTGTCAACACTGTGCTAAGACAATGTCTTGATAAAATTACGAAAAAGTTGGATTTGAACTCTCTTAAACCCCTCAAGCTTAACCCAGGCCATAATAAAAGAGCTATGAAATTTGACATATCCTGAATCCTTTAACGCAAGCCTATATATCCTTACCTACATATGCACCTGACTTTACTCCATTCAAGTCAAAATTAAGTTCTCATTGAAACTTCATTCAAGCTATCAATTTACATTGATTTTCATGATACCAACCTGACACCTCCATTCTGTTCCAATTCCATTAAAATATCCCAATTAACTCTTAACAAACAGCTACAATTTATAGCATAAAATTTCATTTCAATTCAAAAAACCATCAAACGTGCCAATCAAAGGTGAAATATGAAAATCCATAGAAAAAACTGCAGACGTTCTACAATAATTCAATGTGCAGGATAGGGAGGAAATAAAACTCCAATAAATTTTCCACTCTGTCATTCTCCATAAATTGTATTTCTGATACATCAATTAAAATCCATCCGGTGAATTTCAACAAGTTCAATGAGAGAGAAAAAGCTGAAAAATAAATTCAATTTGGAATATTTGAAGTACATAAAATATTGTCAATGCTTCTGTTTCGGCTTCTGCTATGTCATGCATAAAATATTTTATTTTGATAACCAAATGAAAAAAAAGAGAGAAAGATTTTTTTTTTCTATTGATGACAGAATTTTACTGCATAGAAATGAATATCAAGTGTGGAAATGAGGGTTTTTTGGATAGTCACAGTGGAGGGAATATGGTAGGGACTTGTGAGAATTGGATTTCATCTTCAAAGGGTTGGATTTTCTTACTTGAGTGATTTTTAGACTACGCATTGTTGTGAAGACTTGTATACATTACTTACACTACTTACAAAGCTAGTTGACAGGCATTAGTTAAGCACATTCTAGTGCAGTGGAACTCAAGCTTTCTATTTCATGACCCAATCTTAGCTTTACTTCCAAAAAGTTTGAGAGCCACTACTTTAGGGTATCCTTGAGGCATACTTAAACAATCAGCCAAAGTCATAAAGTCACAACTTTATAAGAGAGAATCTATTGCAAGTTAATTTTGAACCTTTTAAGATCTCCTGATCAATGGTGATCTAGAGGTGCGCTAGGGCGATGCGCAACTAATGTGAGTTTTAAGAGTGATGATGCGCTTAACCACTGCACTCAAACCTAGATTTACAGTTTATAATGGGAACCGAACCAATCTTTTGATGACATTTCTGACTGTAGCCTTCAAAGGAAAGCTGTGAGCCTCATTTTCAGTGCATATGATTCGAAAAAGGACAAGTGAAAAATTTCCCATACCCAGTCTCGAACCCATGATCGCTGTTTCGGTATTGCAATAATTAAGTACCAAAGTACTAAAACATTCCGCCACAGAGCCACTTCAGCTCACTCTAAGTATCTGGATTCTAGACTATTTTACGTGTGAATGCAACCCAAATATATCTCTATCCACACATCCAATTTCCCACAGTAAAATATTATTCTGACTTAAAAAACATAAAATAAAATTCATTTTAAAATTCAAAAAAAAAATAAAATTTCTCTTTCCACATCTGCGAGCATATATTGACTTAAAATTGTATTTTTTACCAGTAAATTTTATTCTTCTGTTATCAGAAAGCTGTCAGTCATGAAGCATTTTACCGAAGGAATATTAAAAACTCAACCAGTTGAAATGTTCATTGAAATAATATCGTTGGGAATTTTTTATTTTTTTTTGTAGTTTCTATTGTCCCTCATACTATGAGATGTTATCAGTCACTGACCGAATTTTTTTTTTGTGTTTTATTTAAAATGGAAATGAGTACGTTAATTTTTATGCAATGAGCTTTTAAACAGAATTTAAAACTAGTTAAAAAAACATTTTTTTAAATTAGTAAGTTCCTGAATTTATTAAAAAAAATACTCAATCATTAAAATTATCCAATATTTTAAAGCTAGTTTCAAAATCCTTAAATTCTACCTTAAAGTAGCTCTCAACAGGCGATAAAAGTCATCATTTTGTATAATAATAGCTCTGTTGCACTTTCATTGGCTGCTTCGTCCATCCATTATAATAACTGGAGGGCGTAAACTTGCTCTGAACGAGGTTTGAATAGCAGTACGGAACATAATTGACATAATTATTGTATTTTTGATAATGACTGTAGTCTGGCTGACTCGGATAAAAGTTATAATAATTTTTGACTGGCGGTTGAATTTGTGGTGAGAATTCATATGAACTGTGCGGTTCCTGTGTTATGGAAATGTATTGAGCATTTGGATATTTTGAGGATGAATAAGGATATTTATTAAATCCAGTATTTATGACAGTACCAACTGTGGTTGAATGAAAATCTTGTGATGGCTTTTGTGGTAATTCTAGCATTGGTGTGAATGTATTAACATCAACATCCTCTTGTCTCATTGTCGTCATCGGTAACGACGCTATCATCGTTGTTTGTTGCGTACTCGACTCAATAGTTGTTGATTCCATTTCATCATTTGATTCCTGTCTTAAATCTTGAATTTCACGTCTTACTCGATTCAATGCATCTTCATCTCTCTCATCAACATCTTCAGCATCGTCATCATCGTCTTTGCTATTCGGATCAAATGTGATCACGTCATAATCTTCCAATTTCAAACTCCTCAGTGTTTCCTGAGTTCTCATCGTCGTAGTTGATGGTTTCGCTGTCAATGATGCTGTTGCTGATGCCAAGATTGATGTCGAATTAAGTGGCAACTCCAAGGTATTATTGAAGGGATCATTTTGAGTTAATGCGGAAATATGTGACTATGATAAATGAAAGAAGAATAGAGAAATGTGAATATGAAGTTGAGAAGGGTGGGTTGGGGAATGCGATTGTTGATGGGAATTATGGAAATAGAGATTTTGAGTTTGACTGATATGAATATAAGGAAACTTAATGACATTGAGGTTGATTTGAGCATGTTAGTATATTGGGAGAGTTTCAATTTTTTCAATGGAGGTCTAGGATCAATTTCTAAGGTCTGGGTCCAGAAACAAGGGGGTAGCAACATGATGAAAAAATTTTTTGATCAGAAAAAGTGGGATTCGTATTAAAAGTGCTATTCTTTCTGCAGAAATTGGTTTAAGTTTTCAATATAATTTTTTTCCACCGTGTTGTTATCCCCTTGTCCAAAAAATATACGGCTTGTTTCACTACAGTGGATTATCCTCGACTTCGGATTATCCATTTCAGTTTTTTGTTAATATCTTAAACTTTATGGGAGGTGTGGTATTTCTAATTTTGGATTATAAAAGAGTAAAGTATGCCTGAAATTTCTGTACACTTTAAACTTTTACTTTTCATTAAGAAGTATTAATTATTCAATTTTCTAGCCAAATCTAGAAGATTAACTTCAATTTTTGCTATAATTCTCAAACTAATGAAGATATAAAAATTCTTAGTATATGTTAATTTAAGGAGCAAAGTACTTTAAGGAGATCACACTTTAGATCTCTTAATAACCTTAAGCGTCTGGAGATATTTCCGAAAAACTGAAGTAGATAATCCGAAATCGAGGATAATCCACTTTAGTGAAACAGGCCGATAAATTTGTTCTAAAATTCATCATAAATTCTCAAATCATCATGCCATTCAGTCCCGATTCCACATCATCCCTTCATTTGAATAACATAATCCAACCTCAAACCCATTCCGTGCCCAACAATCCTTCCCATTCGCATTTACAACTCAGAATCTCAAACCACTTATATCGTACATTCCTAAACATATGCACATGCATGAATCCATCTTCAATTTTAATTCTACTCACATTAACAACATCATTGACTGTTGTAATTCCATCATTACTCAGAAGCTCTTGTGGTTGATGTGCATGTTGGTTGACTAACGTATTAATTTGTTGAGGATGATGTAGGCAGAAGAAGCATAATGGATCTCTTGTATGAACGTGATTATATTCGACTGTAAATGTGGAGAAATGGAAATATGAAGATTTCGAAGGTGTAAGGGGATTAATGATGAGAAATTTGTATAGAATTGCAATCCCCCTCCGCCTTAATATTATCCATAATTCTCATATTAAATGCCAACATTAGCCAGAATATTTTTAATTTAATTAAACATTATTGTCGACAATGACAGGGGATTATGGTATTTTTGGTTCCATAATCTTATTTCTTCTATGGACTGACATTGAATGATCTACATTGTAATTAAAATAATAATAAACTCGACGCTCCGTAATGGCTGTTTTGACAAAATGTTTTTCTATCCTCCCTAATTTAATTTTCTGAGGTTTTTTTTTTATTTTCATCGACTTTGTCTATTGTTCAGTTGCCAATAAAGCTGGTTGTTGTTTACATCGAAACGTCAAAATTTTTTCAATAATAATTTTATTTACCTGATGTCGCAATGAGTGGATAACCGCCGAGTGAGAAAATCAAGGCGCCTCGCCAGTTTTTACTTTTTGAGAGAAAATATGGAAATATGGGTTTGTGTGGAACTAGGTAAAGGAGAGAAAGTAATAATTTAGTGCCAAATGTTTGGGAATTTTTTGCCGTTAAAAATAAAAATTTGTGGAAAGACCAATTTGGGAGAAGTTTTGTTGTGTGCATAAAGGATTCTCTCATGTTCTGTACCTTTTGTTTTGCACGCGGATATTCCCAAATGGGAAATTACACATCATAAAATAAAAATCTCTGTTGGAGTCATTTTTACCTGAGAAGAGTCCAAAAAATTTGCCAACACGTGCAGAACTCGGATTTCCCAAAAAATTTCTCGAATCATTGGCGTCAATTATAATTGATGGAATAAACATGCAAGCTATAAATAATTTGATCAACATATTTGATCCACATGTAGACTCACTTCACTTTATTTTCAGATTTTAATTTGATTTTAGTTCTATTTATTTTATATCAACCGAAAAACTGTTGAATTTTGAGAACAAAAAAAATATTTTTCAATTTATGTCGGATACACAAAATACTTTTATGAGTCTCGGGAACAAAAAAAAAAGCCAGAAATCGAAAATGCTCACAACGCGTATAAACAATATTAATAAGTGCTGACTCGAGTTTAATTTCAATGCAGTTTTTATAACTTTTCATCTGTGCGGGAAAAACAATATATGTAGTTATGTGTATGTTATTGCTTGCTGGTGTTATTTGTGAAAAATAATTGAGGTGTAATTTTTGGAGGGGGTTTGGGGGGTCATTTTGGGTGAATTTCAGTTGTAAAATATTTTTAAATAAATTTAAATCTGAATTTATTAAAAAATTGAAAATTAGATTTTTTTAAAAAAATTTGAAAAATAATTTTTAAATAGTTTTGAAACTTAAAATGTTTAAAAATTGAAACCTGCAGAAACTTAATTTTTTTAAAAATGTTTTATAAACCAATTGAATTTAAACTTCAAATTTTTTTTAAATGCGCTTTACGTCACCCAAACCCACTCAATCCGCCCAAAATTTAGTCAATTTTTTTTCGCTGTGTTTTTATTTCAATCCGATCAAAAATAAAAATCATTTTTCTGTGTTTTCACTTTTGTTTTTTTTTTCATTTTAACTGTGATATGATGTTTTCACTTATGATACGGGTATCACAATATAATAATAAAAAATATATATTGTTTGTTGTGTATTTTATGCATACATGTTTACAAAATAAAAAAAAAAGCATGCTGAATGATAGCGGCGGATCAACGTACAAAAAATAAGCAATATCGTTATAGCTACTCAATTTAAATTAATTAAAAAAGCATAACAAATGTTTATGTAAATGTTCATTTTTTTAAGTGCCTGTGGTCATGTTGCAGAAATAAATATTTTTTCAATCATTTTAAATATTGATAAGGTTGTTGAATGATTTATTGTGGATGAATCGAGGATTATAGAGTGGAATGAGGTAACTGGTGTGGATGTTTTGGTTACGAATCGTGAATTATTTAATATTTGATCAATTAAGCAAGTCGAGGTGCCTTAAAAATCAGAATTTATTCTCAAATAAGTGTTATTTATCAATTAACAGCCAATCACACACCAGCCTAGCAATAATCCATCAAAAAATCAATTAACAGATCACAGCTGATCATTAATTTACTCCTCCTATTCAGTCAGTATTCAAATTGACACTATTTTATCGCCAAATACAATTTTCTTCAATTTATTCTGATTAGTATTTATTTTGCGTAATCACAGCACAGCACAAATATTTATAAATCATTTTCTTATCACCAAAATCATCAAATCACATTGATTTACTGCCTTAGCCTCCTCATCTTCTAATTCAATAAGCCATTTATTTTCATCGATTGACATTTGATGAATTGACTCGAAATGAATGAATAAGAAGTGATGATTAACTTTGGTGGGGGGTTCATGGTGATTTGGGTGAAGATTATAGAGATAGACAAAAGCGACAGTTTCTATCCTTTCACTTTTTTACGTCGACCTCATAAATCTCGAGAATTTTTTTTTGTTCTTCATCGGCCTTTTATGGGACATTAAGCTTAGTTAATTGTATCATTTCCGTCAATTCACTTTCTTTCGGTAGAGGTTTTTTGTGTGTCATCATTTGGGTTAGAGAACTCAGGAGGATGAAGTGTTGGTGGTAGACGTAATAAATTTTATTTCATATCGTGACATGAATTTGCTTAGATCGAGCACCTACTTACAAAAACTGAACAAAATTGAGCAAAACTATGCAAAAGGGAGCAATTTGAGCAAAACTAAGCAAAATTGAGCAATTTGAGTAAAATTGAGCAATTTGAGTAAAATTGAGCAATTTGAGCAAAATTGAGCAATTTGAGCAAAATTGAGCAATTTGAGCAAAATTAAGCAATTTGAGCAAAATTGAACACCAGATTTCAAATACTCTAAGCAAAACTGAGCAAAACTGTGCAAAAATAAGCAACTTTATGCAAAAAGTAATCAATTTGAGCAAAATTGAGCACAAAATAAATAAATCACATCAAAATTGAGCAAAACGAAGCAATTTAATACAAAAAACTGAGCAAATTTAAGCAAATTTTAACAAAAACGTAACTGAATTGAGAACAAGGACCCTCCCATCCACATTCACACAATCACATTGTCAAGAGAATTCATCAGAGAGTCAATAAGATGATGATTTTACTCTCTTATTTCTTTTCCTTAATTTTACTTCTTATCGCTCGTAAAAACAGAATCTCGCGTACAACTGGAATAACAACAAAAAGACGAAATAAATGAAATAAAAATTGAGTCGCATGAGACACATATAAATAATGTTACACAATACAAGAGAGTGAGATGGAGAAGTTCTAGTCAACGCAATTTTTGCACATTCCATCTGATTAATGAGATGTGAATAATAGAATGAAATTGAATGGGATGGAAGATTACAATTTTGTCTTGAGTCATAAATGAGGAGAATGATAGGAAATTGATGTTCCCCGGGGATGATTTTTAAAGATTATCACAATTTTCTGGTCAGATATGCTTGCTACGAAGTTGATGTAGGGCTTTTCTGAGACTGTTTTTATGGCAACCCGTGTACCATACCCCCTCCCCCTCTCTAAATCGATGTTATATACTTTGAAGTTTGTTCATAACTTGACAAAGGTCGGGTCAGGTCTACAAATCGTCCACTGAATTTTATGAAATTTTAATTGCGATTAGGAACCGAAAAATTTGTTTTTTATATAGACGTCATTTATAACGACCCCATAGAAGTATTGTTTTGTTTTAAATCTCCTTTTTCATCCATTAATTAATATTTTTTGATGCCATGACGTAAGCAGAAAAAGTATCAGATTATCCAATAAGGTTGATCCCGTTAAAATCTTTCAATTAATTTAGCCATCGTTCATTCTAGAAAAGATTTTATTTTGCCTGAATTTAATTTTTTTCCTATCCTTTGTACACACAAGAAAATAAAAACGAGAAAATTATCGAAGGATTTTTGAGCTGCGGGATTTCTTTTGTGTGTATTATTTTCAACTTTTTTTTCTTCTCTTTCCTTTAAAGTCTTAGAGACCCTTTTTGGTGCTCAGAGTCATGCATAAATTATCAAGGCGTGAACATCCATGCACAAAATAGCAGTAAAAGAAGTAATAATAATGATAAGAATAATGTCATAAATATGAGGATGTAAAGTTGGTGTAGAGAGGTGGAGCGATATGCTAAAATTATTATAGCATAAGATAAAATATTTGAAAAGTAGAAAAATAAATTAACTTAGGAAGGAATTATTCACTTATGACGTCCGTCAAAAAACATGATTTTCAGACCCCCCCAACCCTCTTTCACAAAATTTATATGGGTTAAAAATTTCCTTTGTTTGAAAAAATCATAGACCACCTCCCCCTGCTTAATCTCGGGCGTCATTAATGAACGATCCCAATTTTGATCTTTCATAAAAATGAGAGTAAAAGCTGATGCAGCAAAAGAAATAAATCTGGTCGAAAATAAAACAATATTGTAGACAAATAACATGGGGATTTGAACCCGAACTCTTTGAAATCTAATTTAATTATACTTCTTGTATAATACCAATTTGGCATATTAACTTAATTTTACAAATCTGCTTAATCTTAATAATCTCCACACGACCGTCTTTACTTTTATGTCATCTAAAAACTTTTACAATTCCTTTCATCAATTCATTTTTTTATTGCTTTAGTAATGATCAAGCTTTACTAAGTTTCCTACCCTCATAAATTTCTTCGAATTTTTTTTTATTCCTTTCTTCATATTCATTTTTATTTTCTTTTATATCGTTTCATTTCATTTCTGGACAAATATTGATTTACGCTTATGATTCGATGTGAAGAATAAGGAATGAAGATGAAAAGTTTTCTTCTATGTAACTTCGGGCAAATTGAAACTTTTTCTTTTCATTCTCAATTCTATTACGGAAATCTTTCTTCATCTGTGCTCCCTGAAAATAAAAATAGGAATAAAGGAAATTTATCTTTTTTTTTTTGAGATATCAAAAGTCTCACTTATTGATTTTATCAATAAGGAAACTTTATTTTCAGATAAATAGGTTTTGTGGATTGATATTTTATGAGCGATTGTTCAATTTAAAGTAGCGACAACTTTGAATAAAATTAGAAATAAATCTATGAAAAGAAAAATTTCATAAAATTAAGACTTGAACCAAAATTTTGATAGGAAATAATTCTGAACATTCAGAAATGAAATCTTTGTACTTTACAAAATAAGAATCACACTTAATAAATTAAAAAAAAAAACGTTACTATTTGAAATCATAGCCATGAGCTAGCAGCTGCTAGGTTTTTGATTGCAAAGTACAATGATTAAAGAAGTGAAACCTGAGAATGGTTCAAAACCAGAGATGCAATACAGGTTGACTGTCACAGGAACAGGTGACAGATCTGTCATAGGTATTGCCTGTTTACAAGTACTGCCTGCCAAAAAGAAATTGCCTCTCACAGGCAGTGCCTGTGGATTAACCTATGGCATACAGTGCATGTTAACAGGCAATACCTAGAACAGATCTATCAACTATCCCTGTGACAGCAATCTGTATCGCAAATCTGCTCAAAACTTATTTTTTTTTTAAAAAAAAACAGTTTATCATACAGTCCCCTATTTGATGCTCAATACTATAGGATTCGAACCACTTACTTTTAAGTTTTGATTGTTTTGATCATTTTAATTC